TTACAAAGGAAAAGCAGTAACTTTACAGTAGCGAAACCTGGTAGCATCACTTTAATAAAGTGATCAAGGGAAACTTCATCAGTAAAACAAGACACATAGGCATCAGGACCTGTACAAGACTCAACTGCACACTCCTGTGGTATTCTTGCCAAAAATACATGCTCTCCATCTAAGCAGGAGACACCATTTGACAAACTCAAATTGAGGACAACTCTATAAAATAACCAATGAATACTCATAAAAAGTGTTAAGGTCATGAAAAACAAGGAAGATTAAGGCACTGTCATTGACTGGAAAACAGCAGTGACATGACAGCTAAATGCAAGGTGGGACTTTGGATTGGGCCCTGAAACAGAAAAAGGACTTTAGCCAAAAAAGAAACCTGAAGTCTGTATTTTAAAGAACAAATAAAACAAATCCTGGGCTCCCTGCCCCCTTCAATTCTGATTCAGGCTAAGAAATTTGTATTTTATATTTAAAGTTCAGCAGGTGTTTCCAGTGGTGAGTCAGACTTGGGAATCACCAAGGAATTGTGATCACCAGGCCACTCCCCAGATTACAGGTACAAGTGACTCCCAAATGGCAGTTTATCAAGCTGTTTCTGCTGACCACAAGCAAATGGGTCAATTCCCAATCTCCTCTTGAAAACCTCGGTGTATGGAGAGTGAAAAGAATGGAAGGTATATTTCCCACTTCTCTCCATGAAGGAATGACTTTCCCAATACAATTTCAATCTTATGACTGAATATCAATCTATAATGGTTAAAGACTTCATGCTTCCTTAGAATAAAAGATGACAAATTAGTTTTACAATCTCAGTTACTGCCTAGCTGAAGACGGCCTATTTGCAGTTCAAGTGGAGTTCAGTTAAGTCTCAGAGTGTAGTAACTCCCTAGATTACAAAGCTCTCACTTCAGCTTACCCTGTGATTCAGTTTAGGCAGGTTTCTAATGAGTCTTTTCTATTCAGACATGGGCAAAGGCTAAGATGGTACATCAAGGGCACACAAACTTCTAAACATGCTTTCATGAGCATTAAAATAATGTTCTAAGGCCACCGTATTGTTATTTCTGTCCTTTGAAAAACATCTTCTCTAAAAACCTTAAATTAAGCAAAGTAAGAGCATGGACAATGATTTTAGGTTATGTAATGGCTTCAAAGAAGAAACAAAAAAAATCCTTTTCTAGAACAATAAGCTAAACAGTAAAAAAACTATTTTACCTAAGATCAATTAAGAAATAATGTGGAACACACAAAAGTTTTATTCTCTAGAACTGATGTCTATAATTTTTTCTTCAGTATAACTGGTATGATCTTGAATATTTAAAACCTAAGATATGAATATGAGGCATAAATTACATAGAGAAGCATTTTCCCAAAAGAGGTGCGATTTTTATTTAGATCCTTGTACAAAGTTGTGTCCAGACCCTGTTTTCTGGGCCTGTATCTGACTCCTGAACAACTAAAGACACAGGGATGGGAGCACATCTTATCTTTCTGATGTTCAAAACCAAGTGACTAGCACCTGCAGCAGATTGACAACACATTTCTCCTAGTCGGCTGAGTGAAACAGTTTAGTTTACTGGGAATATGTGATCAGAAACCAGTATCTAAGTATTTAGCTACCCAGAGTAGCTAATAATTTACATATGTTATAGTAAATGCAAATAAAGTCTATCTGTGAGCCTCTAGTGTGTGATAATATATATCTGCTGAAGAAAATTCTGTTTTCGTTAACAGTTCAACCATTCACTCTATGTTATTGTGGGGCAGAGGTGTGCGCGCGCATGTGTTTTCATTATAAACCGTCTCTAAGTTTTTTCTCAGTGAGAACAGATGGGGTCATAAATATACAAATGGATGATAAATAATCTTCAAACAATATAGACATTATGTTTGGCCAAAGCTTCTCATCCACCTGTGCCCAAAATTCCTGAGTTCATTTGTGGCATCAAGATTAAACAAGGCAAGCCTCCCTGATGGCACAGGGGGTTAAAATCTCAGCGCTACCAAGTATCACCAGCCACTGCGACATGAGTTTGATCCCCAATCAGGGAGCTGACCCACAAGGTGCTGCAGACCTCTGCTTTCTTGTCCACTGCTCGCATCAGCAGTGTATTTTAGTAGAGCTGCGTGTTTTGCTCCCGACTGTCTCTGGTGAATTCTTTCACCCCCTGCACCTCTACATCCAGTTCTTATATGCATAAATAAAATAAATCTTTAAGAAAAGGAAAAAAAAATTAAACAAGGCAATTAAGTCTGGAAACAAAGATTCAAAGAGAATTTATTCCCCAAAACTGCTTAATAAAATCTCCCCATTACTTCTGTGAAGAAATGAAATTCTATTCAACTAAGTATTTTTTAGTTTTATGAACACTGCCCATTGTGGATTGGAAGAAAGTATTTGGTTTCAGATTCATTCACCTACTGCTGTTCTAGGATTTCAGGCCACGACAGGAAGTCAAGGCAAATGTGCGAGAGGGAGTGGGGGGTGGTGGGTGGCAATGCTCATCACCCCCTACGCCAAGGGTTTCCTAAGCATAAAGTATCCTGACCCCAGCCCCATGCCCTGCCTACAGAATAATTTTCTATCTTCTACCACTGCTTCTGTTTTTAAATCTTGCCAGAAATATAAATATACAAAAATTGTCCTGAAAAAGTAAATTTCTGAGACTCAACCACACACGCCCAGGTCCTTTGATAAAGGGTGCAGAGGAACAAGGATGGAGCGCACCACCCTCAAGATTTCCTGAAGACTCCTGCAGCTGGTGAGGGCATGAAGACCGAAGGCCAAGTCTCACTTCTGCCCCATTAGGCTGTCCTCAACCTTTGTGTACAGGGTTTTCATCTCTAAATAAGAGCCCTCCAGAATCCCTTCCTCCTCTAAAGCACAGAACTCAATTTTACAAGCACTTACAGGGTTCCAAGTTTGATCTCCTGAGTTTGAACTTCCATAGGATATTCTGCTCCAAAAATGCAATGAATGTAATTTTAAATAAGTAGAGGAAAATAAGGCCAGCAGATTATTTTGGAACTTTGGGGTATTTGAATATGAAGATATGTGGCCTTACCAAAGGAATTATCTTTACTTATTTAAAAATTATGAACGATTAAAAAAAAAAATCACAATATCTGACAAAGCACCAAAGTTAAAATTTTTTTTTTTTGAGATTTACACATTTACATTCCAAACACATGAAGTCATAAGGAAAGAGCCCTTTCACCTTCCAACAAGTGGTGTGCTCAGAGGGCATATGACTAGTAAGGAGTGTCTGGGCCACTGAGGGACTGGACCCTAGAAACCAGGATTCTCCTGTCCCTAGACACACACACCCAGGTTATAAAGTCTGACTCCTATATAATCAGTACAGTTTATTAAGTCGATATCAAATCCAGTGTCCTGAACACCAACCATTTAGAAAATCCAAGTTTCACTGGGGGGCAGGGAGCTGACTCACACATTAACGTAAAAGGGAAGTGTTACTAAAATGCAAGCTAGTCAAATACCCTTGACCTCCCTATAGAAGAATAAGAATATCTTTCAGTAATGGGGGGGTTGTGTGATAATAAGCTACTGTTCCCTAGTCAATTTTTAAATATTTCATAAAGTGAATATGTTGAATATATGTGTTCACTATTGTCCCTTTTGACTTTTACAGCACATGTGCATGGGTATGCGGGCGAGCGTGCGCACACACGTGCACACACACACACACACACACACACTCACTCTATACCATTAAAATGAAAATTTCTAAATTCCCTTTCAGTAGCATTTGACTTCCAGTCACATTCAGCAATGTCTATTTCCATCAGTCTCTAAGAACACTGAGCAAGTACACTTTCACCAACAGGCAAAAGCAAAACGTATAAAAATATGGTAACATTTTTAAAGGTGACAATTTTTCTTTTAACTTTAAACTAAAACTAACCTGATCATGCGCCACAGATTTCAGAAGTTGTCTAATTTTTGTCTTATTTTATACTTTTCATAAATGCACATAGCCTTAGTTTTCTAATAACTTTACTCCACTGCATTTTGCTTGAGATTACATTTTTTTTAAAGATTTATTTTATGATTACAAGAACTGGGGTACAGGCCAGAGGTGTGGGAGGTGAGAGGATTCACCAAAGAAAGAACAGGGAACAGAATAGGAAGATAGACTGAAGTACACTGCCGAGGGGAGCAGCAAGCAAGCCAGGAGAGGTCTGCTGCGCCATGTGGGTAGTTTCCTACCTGGGGATCGAACTTGCGCTTCAGAGGCTGCAGATAGCTTCACAGTGCTGTGCTCAACTACCTGCGCCACCAGGGAGGCCCCTGCTTTAGATTACTTTTAAAGGAAAAGTGTCCTAAGTAGAGTTAATTTCATTGTACTTCAATGATTTTGTTTACCTAATGCAGACTTCTAATCTTACATAAGCTTATATATCTTATAGCTTTCATATTCTCTAAGGAGAGAAACTAGACAAAATTTGGATTTTCCCAATACATTGCAAACTTGTAATTTTTTGTTGTTTGTAATCACAGAAGGCTGCAGTCACTTTTCAAATCATGTATCAGAATAAAATGCCATCTTCAAAATGTTAGTTTAATATTCAAAAAATTTTGGTGGCAGCCATATAACTTTTAAATGGTTTTTCTTAATTCCTCAGCTACTGCACTCAGATGCAGAGAGAATGTGAAACTGAACACATTTAGTTTGAAATCTAGTTTTTTAAAAAAGTTTCAGTTTAAAGCAGCAACATCATTTTCCCTTTCAACCCTCCCCCAGGCATAAAGCTGTCATTTATTAAGTAACAGAAAAAGAAAGGAAGAAAAATGGTGTAATATTAATGAGGGAGAACAGGTAGTCAAAGAACTCTGTTCAAGCTGATATTTAAAAGTTCATTACATTTTCCAAAGAAAAGGCCTTAGCCAATTTCTTCTGGTAGGTTTCCTCCCCTCCTTCTCAGGATAATCTGCTGGAGTAAGCAAACAAAGAGAAAGGGATGTAACTCACCAGGATACTAGAAGGGGCTTTTCCATGGTAAACATCTTCAGTTTTAACTGAGCCTTCATGAATCTTCTCATCTTCACTATCATCTTCTAAGTAAAACATCTTAAAAATTGAACTAGCCTACCAAGCATGTTTTTTTTTCAGACATAAAGGTACACTTCTAAATCACCAAAACAGAAAGCCGTTCTGTTTTAACAAACTAAGTGCAAACTGTTTGCAGACACTGTATTATGGTTAAAACTGAAAGGAAATGGTTCTTAAAAAAAAAAAAAAAGGGCAAAACATACAGGACTTTACCAATAAGATTTGCTCAAAATGTCTCAACCCCTTCTCTCCAAGGGAGATAAGCAGGGGCATGGGACAGGCTGTGCCATGTGTTTACACTGATAGGTACCAAGTCCTGCCCAATCACATGACAGTCACTTCAGTTTCCATGTCAAGGGACAGGGATTGAGTTAATGATTCTTTAAATCAATGACATTTCATTTTCAAAAATAAAAAACAACTATACAGATGCAAAAGCAATGTTATATAAATTAATCATGTAAGGGAAATAGCTGCTGTATATTTTCTAAGCATCAATGAACTGCCCAGGTTATATATGCTTTATAGAACTCAATTACTAAAATTTCTTTATTTTGGCATACTGGCATGATCCTATATATTTTCATAATTCTGGATGGGAGATAATCTATTTGACACTATAAATAATGAACAAATAATAATTTACTGTCATAATTATATTGATATGTGGTAAAAATGTGATACAGTAATGAACAATTTACTTACCGTTAAGAATATGACACAATGCAACATGTAAAATCCAAACATTCCTAGTATTTCCTTTCCAGCTCTCAGTAAGTCAAGATACAGAAAAGTGAATTTTTCTAAAAATCTAAAATACTAACACAAAGCGAAGCAGTTAATTTCTAACTAAAACATACTATTTTATTTAAGACTAAATCTAGGAGTGTGTTGTTCATTACAAATAGTGACCAACATCAGACGATATCTGCACTATGGCTACTACCAATTGAGATGTGCTATAGGCATAAAATATGCGGCTCCCATTTTATTTCTATTGGACAACACTACTCTAGGGTCCTGAAACAATCTTGAGAGCATGAGAAAGAGGGGTGGGGGAAGGAGGATATCTAGACAAAGTTGTGTTAAGAAGATGTGAAGGTGACAGAATTCTTTATCATTTCCTTGAAGTATTTAGTTAAGTCACTGACAATATACTAGCTGAACCTCATATTTAAAGATGTTTACATTAGGGGCCTCCCTCATGGCCTGTCTCAGCGCTATCACCACTGCAGCCTGAGTTCAATCCCCAGCCAGGGAGCTAACTCACATATGGCACAGCAGACCTCTCCTGTTTTACCTGCTACTCCCCTCAGCAGTGTATTTCAGTCAATTGTCTATTCTGATCCCCACTCTGTCTCTGGTGAATCCTCTCACCACCCCACACCTCTGGCCTGTACCCCAGTTCTTGTATGCACGAATAAATAAATCTTTTTTAAAAAATTGGGTGTTGCCAACGGAAAAAATGGAGGGAGAAATGAGAAGCTGGGGAGCAGGGAAGTGAGTAGGGCATAAGGAGGAAGGAGATTGGAACAAACTACTTAAGATGGGGGGTGCAGAAAAGAAATAAAATGTGGAAGAGACTGAGAAAATACACAGTGGAATAATGAAAAGGGAAAACTAAGTAGGAGGGTGGATAGAGGGATGAAGACACGGAGAAGAGTAAAATGAAGATAAATATTTTGCATTCTAAATATGAGAAAACTGAGGCCCAGAATGTGTTCAAGCAATCAGACAAAAGTCACCCACTTAGATTCACTACTTTTAGCCTGATGACAGGTTCATATAAGAGAAATGCTAAGGGGAGAGGATGGATGCTAACAGGAGAAATCCAGGAGGGCAGAGGTTGACAGGGATGAACTCTGCTGGGGCAACTTTTACCTCAAACATCTCTTACACAACAAGCAGGCCCCAGCCAGCCCCTTTGGCTTCCTGCTAGTCTTGGTATTGTTTTCACTGTTTGTGTCAATGACTCACAGAATGTTCTGACTGCAAGGGAGCATGCACCATGGACCCAAAGAGGGTGAGCTCATCTTCCAAACAGCTATTTACACACCTCCAGTTTCTTCCTTCAGTGACCTGACCTGTGGCATCTGACCCTCCAGAGAGTAAACCCACGTTTTAGGTTCCAGCCCATCACCTATGTGGTGGCATTTTTCAGGACTTCAACTCAGCATCCTGTTCATATTCCACAGCAATGATACTAGTTAAAATAGATTCCTTCTTTATTTCTGTTTTCTTTTTCCTACTACTGACCATTTAACTATATGAAAAGTAGGTATAAATAGTTTCCTAAGAGGTATAAAGATTTCTTTAAAACTTCCTAATCTGAAATTTGCTAATTTGAAAGTTGGACAAACCCATAAGTTCCAACAGAAATACCTTTACACCACAAAGCTGTTCTGATTCTAACAAGGAACATGAAAGCAATCTGCTCCCCCCAGTGCCCATGCTGTGGAATAGCAACACAATTCATCTGGGTTACCAATGAGTGAGAAAACAGTTTCATTAGTAAGAAATGATGAAAAACTTTTTATAAGCCTGGGTTGCAGAGACTTCATAATCCCCACTGTAATTGTTCTATAACGAGAATTAACTCAAGTGTGTTTCTGCATTTTCAAGGCCACTCTTGACACAGGGATCACAGTCCGCCTAATACAGAATTCTTGTTTAATTTGAGACCAGAGAGGTAATACTGAGAGTTGTCTGGCTATAGCAGTCAAGTTTACCTGTCTGATCATTAAGAGAGCAAAGGTAAACAGTTCAATTAAAGATCTGAAGAATCATGGTCTGGCTTGTGTCATTAATTCTAGACAGTAATTCTGTGCCCTACTCAAAATCCCCAGGGCAAAGCCAAACAGGGTTCCTGGGGTTTCCTCTGCCTCACAGTGAATGGATAAGTATGCTGTGAGATAGCCCCCCTCCTATTAGTCACAACTATATCTATTTAAATGTCTGCCTCCTTCTTCTCTCATTTTACCCTCTGAATAGCAGCTTGTCATCCCCCTGTCCCCATGGTGATACTCAGGGGTAACAACTGTATACATACAACTTTCTGTACTAGGGATACCCCATTTCAAATACCCAAGAAATCCTGTTGAAATGTAAGCTGTATTATGAAATTTGAAAGCTGCAAATAATTTTAAGTGTGGTGCTTTAATGTTTTCAGAAACAAATCTTTGCTATAAACACAACAGCACACCCATATATCACAAGACTAAGTAAGACGAAACCGAGTGAAGTTACTTCAGAAGAATAGTGTTAGTTTTCTCCAGTCAGGTCAATAAAGCTGGGCAAGAGCTGTTTACATTAACACATCCAAAGAAAAATTAGTGAACATCACAAATTTTAAGATTAATACCAAGTCAGACCTGAGTCTGCCATACTCAACATCCCTTGACCCTTACAAGGAATTTCCCCTTCTACTGCTGGTTCTGCCCATCTACAACTCAGTATTTCCTGGACCACTCAAAAAACTGATAGTCATTTTGTTGCTATGACTTTGCCTCTTTAAAATAATCACAAGTATTTAATTTTAAATACTTAGTTGACAGTCTCCCTTCCTGCCCTCTTTTCCCAACTATGTGTATGAACTGCTACTATAAAGTTAAGTGCCTGCAAACCAGGGGTCAGCAAAAATCTCTTGAATATGTATTTTCTTGGGGAGACTGTAAAAATATAAAATTTCTACAAATACACTAAGATCTTGAGATAATTGTAGAAACAGAACAAAATTAATGGTTATAGCTATGCAACTATCATCATATATGTAACTATCATCAATAGAGTAAGAAACTACTCATATTTTTACAATTGCTACTTATAGAAGCCAGGATATAAACAAAGGTTTGTCTGACTCCAGAGCTTTTGGTTTGAGTCATATTGTTGGCTGTTTAATTTACAACATGTTCTCTATCATACTAGTAGGCTTAAAGTAAGTATCATTCCAAGCAGATGCGATTATTATTTGAATAAAGACTCATCACTGAATGCTGCTGGGAAGAGTCATGCAAGGCCTCCCCCGGTGGCACAGCGGTTGAGCGCTGGGCTGCGAAGCAGCCCACAGCCTCTGCAGCACCGGTCTGATCCCCAGCCGCTGGGCAAGGGTCCCACATGACACGCAGACCTCTCCTGCCGTGCCCGCTGCTCCCCTCAGCAGCGTATTTCATCAGTCTGCCTGTTCTGTTCCCGTTCTGTCTCTGGTGAATCCTCTCACCCACCCGCGCTTGACTGTACTCAATGCTTGTATAAATAAATAAACTTTAAAAAAAGAGTCCTCCAAATAGGACAGATGGATGAAAAGTATTCATCTGTAGCCTAAAGTGGGCTCCCATATGAATTTGACAACCTGTTTTGTTCCATTGGTCAGCTTGCTCTCCCATGCTTTTAAAATGCCTATGCTTGTCAACCTGACTGCATGCCCACCACCCTTCCCTTCCTGTCAGAATGTGCAGCATTTCACATCTTTTTAATGTAGGTTCACTGTGTTCTTCAGGAAATAATGAGCAGCAAAACTGGCTAGACTATACTGCTATAAGAATAATTTAAGGGATTTACGTCTAAGACATTTAAAAAATTCAATGTCACCTTTACACCTGCTATTAAGAAATTTAACAGGTGAAATTAAAATTAAAATGAAATTGGAATTCCTAGATTACCATCTTTCAGAAACTGGATCTGCCTATTTCAATTTAAGATGTATAGGAAGAGAAAAATGGCAGCTTTTGGTTGCAGATTTATACATTTAACCTTGAGATATTGGGATACATATGGGAACTAAAAAGTCTTCTGAAAGCAGCAACATCAGAAGAAAGGTTTCTCTCTTCTAAAGATACAACGTCACCAAAACACAGAAGAGTGTGACATTTTATTACAATTTATTTTTCTCCCAAGCCTCAACATATTTCACAAAAGGCTCTCTGAGGAACAGAACAGTTTATGTGAAAATTAATAGCCTCTGCAACAAAGTAATAACACTCAATTTTTTAACATACAATTTAACCACAAAACTTCTGGATAAGTGGAATAAGCAAACAAAGGTACTTTAAGCAAAATGTTCATGAAAAATTTTATGGTAAACCAGTATTAACATTAAAATCATAAGAAAACACAACACTGGCAAACTAGCATTACTTAACCTAGTTTCAACTCTTGAGTCACC